CCATCCCACATTATGTGATAATGTGCTAGCACTTCTAATACGTTTTAGCAGTTGCACAACCTAAGTCTCTGAAATAATGCTGGAGAACTTACAATCTGGATATTTTTAAAGTAGGGAATAATGAGGTCCCCAACCATGGAAGTAGACCCATTCAAAGCATGGTTAAATACTTGAAATGACCCAATAGATCAACCTGTTTCATTCAAGGCAATTAAGCCAAAAAGTGATTTCCATATTTTGGGTTCTCCCACACATCCCTCTTTAGAGGCCCAGTGACTTCAGCACACTAAAAACAATGCAGAAAAATTGCATAGGGTGTACTGGAAAGGAAGATAGGGTGCTGACAAATGAATTATTCTTGAATTCTGAAAAAAGCCCCTGCCTGCAGCTCAAGAGGATAACCATGTACAGGACTGTGAAAATCCTTTGAAAGAGGTGCTTCGTAACATATGGTAGTGTGGTGATGTGCAGCAAGTCAGATCCAAAACAGAAAGGATATTTTGGAGGGGATGTGGTGTACTCTGTGCACCTTTGGGTGCCTCCTCAAGCCTGTTTCTGGGTTCATACAGCAGCTGAACCAACATCCCCTCCAAAACACTCTGCTTTGGATACAAATAGTTGCACACCCCTATAGTGGTGCACATGAAGCATCTCTCTTCCAATCATTAAAACAACTCCATCCTTTCCCAGGCTTATGCAATTACCTTGGCAGCTGTTCCCAGCTGTCTCCAAACACACAGGCAGGCAGGGTCACTTTGCTTTGCATTTGCCCCAGCCTCCCTGAACTCACCAAGTCAAATTGTCTTACTGAACTCAGCGAGATTTAATTTGCACTGTAGTGCATAAATATTAAAGGAGTAAGTTATAATGTGCCCATCCCAATAAAACAACTTCAAATAACTATTTAGCAATGGTACAGCAGAGAACAGTATGCATTAACACAGCACCATCTTGTGGGTATAAAGTAGAGAAAAGAAAGTTTCATATTCAGTCAGAATTATGTTGCTCTGGTCAGTGAAACATTCATGTTTTCTTTTCTCTTGTGTTCCTGTGCCCAGAGTAAATGGCTATCTGAGATGCGTTGGGGACAATTTCCATTTAATCTTTCACAATCTGCACAACAATCCATTCTGAGTATAGGAAAATTAAGCAAAGGTTTATTTTCTTTTTTTTCTTATCCAGTGTTTTTCAACCTCAGCAACTTTAAGGTGTGTAGATTTCCCCAGTGCATGGCTGACTGGGGAATTCTGGGAGTTAAAGTCCACCCGTCTTAAAGTTGCCAAGGTTGAAAAACACTGTTTAAGAAAAAAAAGAAAATAAAACTTTGCTTAATTTTTCTATACTCAGA